TAAATTATTCATTACATTTAATTGTAAAACGTATTTTGAAAATACGTTTTAGAATTATATATAATAAATAAAATTAATTTTATTTATAAAACGTATTTTAATAATACGTTTTAAAATAAAAACGTATTCCGAGAATACGTTTTACAATGTAAAACGTATTCCCAGAATACGCCTGTTTGATTTTGGTCCACTCGTTTTTTTTTTGTTCTAATTTTGTCGAGTTATTTTTTTTATTTTTGATTTAAATAAATAATTCTAAAATGCTGACTCGATTCGACATTATTGGATTTGGATGCAGTACAAATGAATTGAATATCCTTGGTTTTGCTATGGACGAGTCTGTCGTTGGCTCGACTTATCCAGTCATCCGTAATTATTTACAAATAATATATTTACACATATCTTGCAATAAATGTAATTTTTTAAAAAAATAAAAATAAAAACTGAACTAAATTATTATGTCATTTTATTTTATTTTTCATTTTTATTCCTAAATGGATGAATTTTATTCCACAAACACCGGATACAAGATAACAAAATCAGTACACTGCTGATCAACTAAAAAACACATGTTCCAAAATTTTATTTTTCTCCCCACAATATTCACAAATGCCATTCTCTCTTACTTTCATTCTTCAACGATTATTTGTTGTGTTGAAATAGTATTAATAAGACACTGATTTTATCTATCTATGATGTACCATAAATTACTACGTAAAGGCGGTCTAATCGTTAGCAGAGTCGACACATCATGTTTTTCATTCAACAAAATGAATAATTTGTTCCACGAAATGTCATACTTTTTTACGTTGTTCTTTCGGAATATGACATTTTAGTTTGAAAAAAATATAAATATGTTACAAAATATATTTATTTGACCATTAGTTTAGATCTATAAAACAATATTTTTATGTTGTATGTATATAGGGTTGATTGGGACGTTGGCCTAAATCTTTTCATGAGACAATGGATTACTCACAATTTAGCTATAAAACAAACTTTGGCCTTGTTTTTAAAGGCCATTTAAAGGTCAAAATGCATTATTTATACGACATTTGTTAAGTCGATGCTTTCATGTGACTGTTAGCCACAGCCTCTTCTTCTGATTTTGAATATTAATATCAGGCATTTTTTTATTTTTTATTTTTTTTTTTATTTTTATTGATACAATCAAGCCTCTTTCATATAAACATTAATTACTATTGTGTCTATCACACATCTAAAAATAGTTCTACATCGACATTTATTTATTAATTTATGTAGTACATCATTTAGTTTGTGTTTATAATACTACCAGAAAATGATAAAATTCCAACGGAAATTTATTATAATAGAATAATTCCAACGACAAT